TGCACTTTGTCAGCTTTTCGGCTTGAAGGATCCTGACGAAGATGCTGGGCAAGGAAGTGTTGCACTTTATCAGCTTTTCCCCTTGAAGGATCCTAACGAAGATGCTGGGCAAGGAAGTGTTGCACTTTATCAGCTTTTCGGCTTGAAGAATCCTAGATGCTTCCAAAGTTGGTTCTCGTGCTTTTTGCTCTAAGGAAATCTGATCGCAGTGCTGGCTGGCCCCTTTGCGCACCTGCACCTGGCACAAAAGGAGTGCACGCAAAGGCCTGAATGTGTTTACTACAGCTACAACGCCGACAGTAGCGACAGTAGTGGGTACCAGTCGGTTGAGTTGTGCAAAAGGGACATGCTGCTTTTATGGCTGAATGTGAATACATCAATCCATTTGCATTTAATTGATTGTGATAGTGATTCATTTTGACAACTCATCTGCTTCACCTACTCCCTGTTTCCTTTTTAGGATCATTCTGGAGAAGTGAACCCAATATACCCAAGATGAAACCAATGAGTGCTTTTTATGTTTCAGACGAGCTCTAATGTTCCAGACGCCACCGAGCGGCAGTTTTTCGGATTGGCACAGTGGGCGCAAAATTGCAGGTGGCCGCCACTGGCGACATGCAGAAATGCCCTTCGCTCAGGGACGAAGTGGAGCGAGCACATCAATTAAGGCTTACTAACCACAATGGATAAGAAAAAACTAAAATACTTTAAGCATACAGGAGCTCCTTCTTACTAATAAACTGCTCAATCTCTCGTATGACCCCAACACGAAGGGGTGGCCTCTTCGTTACACATATTCCATTACACATTCCCGTTTGTGAAGGGGCTCGTACATGATCAGTTGTAAGTATGTTCCAAAATGAACAATAGTGTCACGATCATGTTAAATCCACCACTTGAATGATCTGTGTGTAGTACTGCTTTAAATCAGACACGGGGTCGGCAGGTGGTATCTCTCCGGAGGTTCCATCAGCGGCACTTGGCGGTGCGTCTGTGCCTGCCGCCGTTGCATCCGCTGCCACCCCTGCGGGCGGCCGGGCTCCCCAGGCGGCAAACGACTTGCCGCTTGCCTTGGCCCTGAAGGATGATGGGAGCGGTCGTCAGCGCTGGCGGCTCCGAGTTGCGCGCACGAGTATGGTGGACAGTCAGAACGCGGGCTCACGCTACGACTACGCCGGAGCGCCAGAAGTATGTGACTATCACCCCGTTTCTGAAAGTCCGTCCCAGTGCAAGGAAGACCACGGGAGTGGGGCGATCTATCTTGGCGGCTCTGGCTATGAGGAGGTTACGACAGCGGACGGCGCTTCTGGTATGGACCATGTTTTATTTTCCCCCAAAGATCATCTTTAACGGATCGATCATCGAGGCTGCCCCTTTCCTCGTCCCCTTAATATTAAAACTGTGATGTAGCTGAAGGGGCAGCCTTGAAGATGGTCTGGTCTCCTGACACTCAGACTCTAGAGGGGAGAAAAAGCATCATCCATATCTGGCGAGTGCACCCGAACTGCGCACGAGGAGGAGTATGGTGCCGGTGCATTGCTCTGCAGATCTACGGGAACTACAGAAGAGACCGCAAGGGCGCTGCCAGACATGTGTTATCAGCACGGAGACACTCCGCGGAGCTACAATTAAGGCTTGCCCAAAACCCAAACGAACTACAGCATAACCACGGTCGTAACGGCAAGCCTCTGTATTTGCCGTGTTCTTTCATCTTCTAGTTCTTAGTTGTTCCCCTAAGTAATGACTCACATTGATCTTCGGATTGATCGATCTTCGGATTGATCATGAAATTTGAAATTGAGTGCGAGTATTAACTGGGTATTCCTATTCTTGTTCCCCTAATGTATGACTCATCTTGTTCGGAAGCAAGCACTGTACGTAGAGGGCTGTTCCATAAGGGGAATTCAAAAAAAACGATAAGTTCTAATACAAGAGTCGACCGGTTCTTAGCCAACCAGAGGCGAGACGGTTTGCAGAAGCGGTGTGCGAAAAGTCCCACTTCTGTACTGGCTACACTCTTATGGATGATGTTTTTTGCATCTATCAGAGGATCGAGGCTCGTCCCGCCCCTAAGCCTATTATATATGGGGAAATATATGGGAAATTATTACGTTTTTAGGGGGAAATAAGGGATATCAGCCGTAAAAATGCTCTGAAAAGTAGATGGATTAGACACCGTTCATAACCTTGCTTTGGGACGCAACTGCTGGCGTTACGGCTCGGCTATCAATCTCGAAAAATGCCCCATCTTGTTGAGAGAAGTCACATTTTTCGAAGGGAAAATGCAGGTTTCTTCCAGGAATAGCACTTCCTGTCTTGAGAAGATGGGCGACTTTGATGGCGCGAGCTCTAACGCCGAAGGATGGAGTACGCGTCTGGAGCGCGAAGACTTCTTCAAGGCTGCAAGTCCACGCGTTACAGTTAAGGCTAGTTTTTCTAGTTCCACCCTAATAGTAAGTACCTCTCTACTAACGAACAATTTGTCAACAGAGTTGTAACAGCTTGTACTTACTTATATATAAGTTGGTTCATCAGTTCCACTTCCACCGTAGAGGTTGTGCCTCTAGTACTAGAAGGGTGTAGCTCTAATACAGCAGCATCGCCCGGAGCACTCTCTAGATGCTTTCGGAAGAAACAGTCTGCCGGACAAGCGGGAAAGCACCCTAGCAGCCTGACGGCGCAGCAGATTCAAGCTCGTTGCACTCTCGAGCCGAGCTGCAGTGGGCTGAGCTTTCGACTGGATAAGTAAGGCCCACTTCCTTAATCGTAATCCGTCCTTGTCCTGCGAGAGCGAGACGAGGAAGCATCTTGATCTCCTTATTTCATGAATGATCCATCCTTTTATTCCTGGGAGAGGAAGTCGAAGCATCTTCCAGGCTAGTTGTATGAGGCATAGCTCTGGATTATCCAGGCTATGAGGAGCTCTAAGAAAAGCATGAGTCCTTGATGAGTAGCGTGTTAAGAAAAACGACACAAGGAGTTGGCGAGGAGCTAGTGCCCAATTCGATCGACGAGGGGGCAGTCAGGGCCTGCGGGGGCAACATACGTTAAGGCCGAAAGGAACGGAGCAGCCTCTACGTGAAAAATCAGTCCCGTGAAATAAGTACTAAAGAGCAGGTACTAACCTGTGCCAGAGCCTCGGGCTGTACTGAAGTAAGAGGAAATACTCGATAATGGCTCGAGAAGTATTTTCACGGGATTTTACTTCACGGGCGGACAGGTTAGGGCTAGAAGTTCTAAAGACGTGGGCAGCTTAAAGACTACACGGGAACATCTTCAAGCAGCAGCGGTTCCCTTGCCGTATTGCGAAAGCGGAATTGTGCAGTGGGTGGCGGTGGACCGGGTGGCGGAGCGGACCTCTCCTTCTGGGATACAGGACGCGTTCGCTCGATGGATTCGATGTTTTTGGGCGCAACTCGTAGTAACCCAAACGTCCGACACTGGGATGTCCGCAGCTTGGTGACTGCGAGATCCATGTTCCGTTAAGGGTAGGCTAGAGGTGTCCACGTTGCCGTTTGTTTTGCTTCTCTCTCCTAAAGGACGAGAGAAGCCTAAAAACAAACGGGACACAGAAACACCAAAGCCCTGCCTCTAATTCCGCTCTTGCCTCGCTTGCCGTCCCGAACTGGACTTGTGGGACGTGCGGAGCTTGGTCTTAAGGCTGAAACCAAGTGTGGACCATGTCCTCAGCACCATCCGGGGCGCTTTTTCAAGGGGAAAAAGAAGGGCCCAAGGATATGAGTCTCAAGGAAGATGCGACGCGGTAGCTCTAATGGTCTCCTTGCACGGTTTTGCCAGTGACGCGGGGAGTCAAGTCAAGGCGTCAACTTAAGGCTCCTTCCTCCACTATAAGATGAGCATACTATCCACCCCCCCCTTCCACCATAAGACCCTAGCTACTTCTCTACTTTCTATTTTATGTTCTTCTCTTATTTTCTCGTCTTATTAAATTTTCTAATCTACTCTCCCTCGCGACTTGCAGACACCTGATTTTGCGTTTGGCTCTGGTGCTTCAGGAGTCTTGGATGTCGCTTCATGGGATTTAAGGGCGCTGGCTGATCTTACCACAGCGGTTTCGTACGACGACGCGGCTGGGCTCAGCGAGCTAGACCTGATCCAGGGGATGGGCGTCAGCGATTTGACACCCTTTTTTTAAGGGTCGTTGGAAGTTCATGCGTAGCTCTATGGTGCGCATCTCTATGGCTTGCTACAGAGTAGGAAAGCTGCCATAGATATGCGAACTACTAGATGGGGGCCAACTTTCAACCCCTAACTTTCGCAGCTGTCAGCTGGTCCGCCGCGAAGGGGCGCTTTTTCGGCCTTCGCGACTGCGGAGACAAGGTCCTTCTCGTTAAGGCTCTAATCTATCGTCGCTGTGCAGGGATCCCTCAGCCTCAGGAAGGCTACCTCTGATATAGGAGATAATCCATTTGTTTTTGATGTAAGTATAGAGGGATCACGATCCCTCAGGCGTATGTCGCCGATGAATACTCAACACAAGGGAGACAACTCGTCTCAGGCAGCACGCATGTACTCGAAAAGTAAAAGTAAGCGAGTAGCGAACCTGAGGTAACAGAGTCACGTGACCAACAGGGGTCATTCGGCTCCGGCTCTAATCTCGTCTGCGGCGGCTCCAGGGGCGACGGTTGGCAGCCCCTCAGCTTTTTTCAGTGACTTCTTGTCCGCGCGTCTGTCCGCGCCGTACCTTCGGAGTGTGAAGGACGCAACAAGTGGCTTCGCGCTCAGCTCTCTCTCCGCCGCGCTGCTGCTGGGAGCACAGGGGGGCTTGAGCTACTTTTTTCGTTATCCAGTTACGGCTACTACCGCCAACTAGTACCCAGCTACTTTTCCAGAATGATCTTTTAGCAGTTTTCTATTCGGCAAAAGCTAAAAGATGTTCAAGAAGAGGGGCTCTCGGTGCCTCTAATCCAGTGCAAGCAGGGCCATCCGCAGCTATTGCGGACGAACTCGGTGCCCTTGGCGATGCGTTTAGCGGGACCGCCAGACTGGCATTAAGGCCACCGCAGATCATGCATTCTCCTCAATCTAGTCTTGCTTTGTGTCTTTTTCAAGAAGAAGGGGCCTAAGCCATCCTTGCGGGCCGTCTTTTTCAAGTAGAAAAAGGAGCCAAGGATCATGTTGCAACAAGGGGCTTTTTCAAGCGCCATCTTTTTCAAGTAGAAAAAGGAGCCAAGGATCATGTTGCAACAAGGGGCTTTTTCAAGCGCCATCTTTTTCAAGTAGAAAATGGAGTCAAGGATCATGTTGCAACAAGGGTCCTCTCTGATCAAGGATCCTCTCTGATAGATCATGTAATCTATCAGGTGATCACGGACGGGACTCGTTCTCAACCGAACTGGTACTAGCAGAAAGGATGTTCCTGCAAGGGAAGAAGATGCGCCTGCAAGGAGACTCTAATCTTCGTGACAACCGCGGGATGGGACGCGAGGTATGTCGCAAACTTTCGGCGCATTTTTCACAAAGCCGGCACGGCCTTGTCTCGTGTCCACTCCCGTCCTGCTCCGACTACTTTTTAAGGCTACTGCTTTAATCACGAAATTGAAATCCATTTTTTCCGCGCACACCTGACATGAAAGGCCATTTTGATTTTCGTCTATTTCATAGATTTATTCCCTTGTGATTAGTTTCATTCCATTTCGATTTCCACCAAATAAGGTCATTTAATATTTTCGTCTGTAGTTTGTTTCCTACACCTTATTCGGTGGGGCTCGTTGTGCAGGATCCATAACGTAACCTAACCCGTATTCTAGGGACGCCTACTGCTCGGGCGGAGCAGGATGAGTGAACTTCCTTATAGGAAATGCGTTATAGGTCACGTCAAACTTATAGTAAATACATTTACCTAGGTAAGTAGAATGAACAATGAAGAATTCTTTGAGAACGGGTGCTGCGGACCGCACTATCAGAGACGCACACGTGACAACTCTTGGAGGAGTGGATCTTCTAAGAGCTTGCCGCGATGAGGCAGGATGCCGCAGAAGCAAAAGGAGAGAAAGCATCAGAGATGATTCGGCAAATGGTGGACATAACTTTAAGGCATTTTGCTCTAGTAAGAATGATCCATCTACTTTCTACTTCGGAAAAGTGTTGCTCATGAGGCTGCTTGTTCCCCCATAAAGAGCCATAACTATGCTGAAAAGGGGGAAGCACAAGCAGCCTGGATTAGAGGACTGCGTCCTCTTCTTACGATTGATTGGGGTGAACTCTAATAAGGCTGCCGTCTCCGGATGTTGACGCCGCTACGCTTGTGTCGGCAAGTGGAGAAGGCGCCAGCGACAAGTGCGCGGCAAGGGTTGTAGACGGGGAGACGAATACAACACATGGCTTTGACTCAAGTTAAGGCAGGCACCGTCAGCGTCAACCCTACTTATCTTTTTCCACGACCACCGCATCTTATCTTTTTTTAGCAAATTTTTACTTGATGAAAAGTGCGAAAAAAAGACTTTGACTTTCTAAAAGTAAGATAAGATGGGGGGCTGTAGTCGGTTTTTCTAATCAAGCAACGGCGGTAGTAATACGCACCAAAGGTGTCCCTGGCTGCAGCTTGATCTGGGTCAGAGGAAGATCGTGGACGAGGTGCACCTCACAGTGGCACTTGGTATTAAGGCTCTACTACAACTTCTTCAGAAAGCCAGAGAGTGAGGATAGTTGGCTTTTTTCTTGCAGAAGCATGAGCTCAACAGCTCTACCTCTTCTAAGTAGACGCTTCGTAACCTTTTCAGAGCGTTCACTGGCGACGATGCTTCCTCGATGGTCGACAACGACCCGATGGCAGGAGTGCGGATCCTCGTTTCGGATGCGCCAAAAGATCACGCCGACACCTGTACGCACGGCAGCACCCAATGTGACGCTAGTAGCAGCTTCGTCTGCGAGCAGCACGCTGTCGGCTCAGCCTGCGAGGTGGCCGATACCGCCGAGATTAAGGCTTCATCGACCTTTGTCTTGTTCATTCCATCTTGAAGCGGGGATGTCCTACTATATTGGAGATGCGACTTGTCCTACTAGTTGCAATTCATCTTCTCTGTCTTGTTCATTCTATTGGGCGGACGCGGGGTCCCTCAACAAACGTAAGTAGATACAAGGGACAACAATGACAGGCATGTTGAGTATATTACGTAACCATGATTCCTTGGATACAATATCTCTTGGATCCAATATCCTTGAGGGATCATCTCCATAGGAATGAACGGGAGATGGCGAGGGCTAATGAGACCTGCGATTAAGGCTTCCCCTAATCCACCTCAATAGGGATCCCTCAACCGTATGCGCCCCAATACAAGGGAAAAAATAGTGACGCATATAGTCTTGAATAGTGAGGACGCATAAGGGAAAAAATAGTGAGGACGCATAGTACGCTTGAGGGATTTATTATTCCACAGGGATGAATTAGGGACTCCCTTCTAATGCGAGAGGATATTTGTGTCCTCGGATGGAGTGACACTGGACGGCCCCAGCCGTTTTGTTACTATCGCCGAGAACCCCTTCGGCGTCGGTCGCGCCACGATTCGGTGTAAAGATTAAGACTATCATTCATTGTACTTCTGTAAATATAGTACTGTAAATATAAATATATCAAATAATCTAAATGATTATAGTATAGTACTGTAAATTATATGTACTTCTCCTGTAAATATATATTAAATAATCTACATGATTAGATTAGTGTTATTTATGGACCTAATAAAGATTAACTAATCCGCTATCGTCTAGAACAACTGCATCATTGTACTGTAAATATAGTACTGTAAATATATATTAAATAATCTACATGATTATACAGTACTAAGTTCTTCGACTACTTAGAGCAGATTTCGGGGATCTTCTGACCATATCAAAAAACTCGTGAGTGAAAGCCTAATCCAAGATGAAGATGTTGACTAATCATTAGCTTGCTCATCATCTAAAAAAGCGGCAAGGTGGGTCGCTACGTCCGAATCGAGCTGCCAGGTGCGTCAACGACTCAGACACGGCGCCTCAGGATCAAAGAGCTTCAAGTTTTCGGTTCACTAATGCCAGACCCACGCTCTTGTTTGCAGAGCAACAGCAATAACCTTGCTACAGCTGCATCATGCTCAGACTTAAGACCCTCTCACTATCAATTTTTAGGATACATCTTTGGTTACAGACCAGCACTGACTGCATGGTCCTTGAAAAGTAAAAGTAGTTCGTTGCTCTGACGGGTGACCTGAGAGGGCCCCTCTAATTACAGTTACAACATCACCTGAGAGCTATCAATATAATCGCTTGGATCTTCTCAACCAGACTCGGTTAAGAGCTAATCAAGACTTGATTTCAACCATACTGATTTTTATCTGATTTTTATATAGATTAGATCTAACTCAGGTAGTTGTGTTGCCTGAGTAGAGCTAATGCTACGACTCCCACACTACCACTACCTCCGGCGCTAATTCATGACCTGAGAGAGCCCTTGCAGGATCACCTTCGGGGCACGGGTTTTTTCCTGTCATCAGAACGCATTGCGGACCTGCATGCCTACGACCACCTGGCGCACGGCGCCATAAACGTCACCGGCTGGGCGCCCGATCAGGCCGAAGACTTTCAGCAGGCTTTTGCGCAGATGCATCCAGATGTTAACTCTCTTTGCACAGGCCACTGGCGTTCTCCTTTCAGGCTGCGATCAATTTTATGGCTAGTCGTACAGGAATAAACCTTTGATATTGATTTTCCCTAGCATCTTGAAGATGGTCTCGCTTTTCAAATCCTAGAAGAGGAGCTCAGAGTCTCCCTCAACATAGACATCTTCCTTAACAATAGATACGAAAGTTGGAACCAAGAGGACGAATCCGCAGATCATGCGCCTCCCTTAGTAGACGAGTTCTCTAACATCCGAAAAAATGTTTCACCATGCGACGTGCAGTACGCCAGACGTCTCGCAATTTTTGAGAGACATCAATGTCTACATTAAGGCTTACCACTGCTCCTGTGATTCATCATGATCCATCCTACGAAGAGTGAGCATCTTCTTAAGGTACATACTGTTGGGTCCTGTGGTAGGAGTGTTTTCATCCCCTTCGTACTAGAGAAATAGTTCCCCTTACTAAGGGGAAATAATAATAGAGAAAGCTCGCCAATAAAGTAGTACAACTAGTGACTTTTCAGCAGTTGAAGAACGTGAATGAATCAAGTAAAAAAAGGATGCAGCTCTACATACGGTTATACTTGATAGTCTATCAGTTGGTTTTCGTGCTTTTCTAACTAGAAGGTACACGAAGGCTAATAAGACCTCTTTACTACTAGCAAAAAGTAGAGCAAAAAGTAGAGCCATGACATGACAGCTCTCCTGACTCCTGTCTATGAATAAGCACAGAGGTACCATGACATGACAGCTCTCCTGACTCCTGTCTATGAATAATTGCAAGCTCTAACTACAAGTTTCCGCCAGATCCGAGCGACCTTGGTGGACTCCCAGGTGGGCGTCGAGGTCCCGGAGCAGTGCCAACTTCTTACCTTGTCGCTGGTGGGGCAACCTTAGAAAGGCGTCTGAGTGCTTCCGGGTCTTTATGGTTGTTTGCCCTTGGGCTCTTGGTGGAAGATGATTTTTCCCTTTTTTTCTCCCAACATTAACAACTACTACTAACAGAGTAGTTTATAGCACGCATGGTGCATGGAGTGCATGGAGTAGCATGGAGTGCATGGAGCGCAGAGCTTTAAGGGGCGCAAGAAGCTCCCCCTTTAGCTCCATGCTACTCCATGTGATCCATGCACTCCATGCCATGCGAGCCGTGAAACCTTATAAATTGCTCTGTACTAAGTATGTAACAGGACGATCATGAGTAGAGACCATCTAGGCTTTCTCACAAGAACGCTCCTTTGTAGCAGGTGACCATCTTTCTTCTAGGCTGCCCGCCCTTTTCATCCCCTCAAAACTTCTCTGTACTATAGGTTCGTTAAGGTAGGTTAACTGCATACCATAGTAGACTGATAGGGGGCCTTTAGAGAAGAGAAAAAACAAAACAAGAACTTTCATTTTCTTCTGCGAGTAGCTTCTTAACCGGTGCAGGCCGAATGAGTGAATGCGAGAACGTTCCCTGGAGCGACCGGTGTTAAGGCTTCCCCTAATCCATCTCCAGAATCATGACCTTGGAGTAGTTGTCCCAAATAAAGGGGGAAACATGGAACAGCCCAGAGACGCGAGTCTCCGGATGGATTAGGATGAGCTCTAACGGTGGCAGCTTCATGACCCGTACACGGAGCTGGCAGGCACTTGCAATTTCGAACAGAACACAAACTATATCGACGCACCAGCGGCATTTGTCCACTCTCGCTTTAAGGCTCCTAGCTCTACTCTTACAACTAGAGTTCGCGTAGTAAGTAATTGCTCACTAACAAACTGTAACAGAAATAAATTAAATCTTCTGTACTAGTGTTTAAAATACTTTGTGTGTAAAATCTTTTGAATAGAAAGGCATTGTCTATTTGTATCTATTGTTGCGCTCCGGGCAGAAAGAAATCCTCTGAATCGACGAAGGAAATCATTTTATTTGAAATGAAATCCTTTGAATAGAAAGAAGTCTTTTCTTTTGAAGGGAAATCTTTTGCATAGAAAGAAGTCTTTTCTTTTGAAGGGAAATCTTTTGCATAGAAAGAAATCGCTTGAATGTGATTAATTTTCTACTTATTCTAGGATGAGAAGTCAAGTTCTTTGTTTTGTCTAAGGTATAGTACCCGATTAACTTACCACAGTAAAGTATCATGAGCATGAGTCTATAAATATCTATCTTAAAAAATAAAACGTACTACTTACAGTATCATGATGAGTCTATATCTATCTTAACAAACTACAATTTATCTAATTTTTACGGCGTTGGAGGGGTGTCTTCGCTGGAGGAGTGTCTCGTGCAATGTGCAACGAGGCGAGCCTTGTTTGACGCGGATGCTAGTTTGTATGATGCCAATTTCAATGGTTGACGAGAACTTATAAGAACCTAATTTCATGAGAACCCATGATAACCTATGAGAACTTAATATAAGGACCCATAAATTAAAATTTGTTTTTCATCTCTTCGAGGGGAATGTGCCAGTTATTTGAAAAGTGATTGAGAAACTATCATGTATCTGTAAGTTATAGGGGAACCCCGTCGAATAGGGATCTGCTTCTGTGGACGCTTGTCTGTCTGTGTTTTTTTCTCTATCAAGTTGAATTCTTAGGCCTTGTGCGTTCCTTTTGTTTAGAGAAAAAAAATTCCGAAATACGACATTCCCCTAAGATTTATTAGTCTTGTTTGACATTAATTAATAAGATTCTCGAGAATAAGGTCTACGTAATATAGTGCCTGAAGATTATTCTGAAGAAGAAAGTGGAAGCATTTTTCATAGTTGAGGTGCAACATCTGCGACCAGCACTGGTTGTGCGGGAATAGTCTTTGCAGAAAAGCATGTGGAAATTTTAGGCCGTTGCGAATTCAAGGCAGCGTGGACGGGTGGGCCCTACACTGTCACCTCAAACGCCGACAAACGGGTCCACCACGGCTTCGTCTCCGTTGAGATGACAACAGGGTGCCGCGACGCAATCTTAGCACAGCAGCCGGCAAGGGTCTCGACCGAGCTTATGGATGACCTTTTTTCCATCTTTCTTCACACGATGGCTTGATGCTGATGCTGTTCCTCGCTTACTGGAGTAATCTCCTCCTTACACATACTTTTCTTACTTCTACTTTCACCTTCTCACTTCCGCGCTGTAAGCGTGGAACAGTAAAGCGCTGCCATCTTCGAGGCTGCGGCCGCTTTTGGGTCCTCCCTTGAAAGTGTATACATGAGTAGTTAGCAAGGGGGGCCTCGAGGCTGCTCGACACTCTCCGGCCCTAGAGGGGAGAAAAAACATCATCTATAGAACTTGGTCGAGACGCTATGTGCCCATACGAGGAGGACCCGTTGCGGGTAGAGTTAGTCCTTCCTGCGATGAGCGTAGAGGCACCGAGAAGCGCAGGAAGTGGAGGATTAAGAGTTGCCACATTGCATCCTTCACAGCTACCATCCTTCGCTCCTTTTGTTTCAAGGGGATTCGTTCCCGGAAAACAAGAGGTCGCCCATCTTCAAGGATGAAGGTCTGAAGAATGCAACTGCTCGGGAGCAACCACCTTTAAGAGCAGGAGCAAGTGTGTCGAATGTTTATGGGGTAGCCGCTGCTCCAGGAGGGATCCCGGTTACACTACCGGTTATTACGTCAGAATCGGGCCACGGGAATGCTTTTACTGTTTTTTGGGATGATCCGGATGACGCATCAGAAGCCGACCCGGATCTCGACAGCAGCCCATCATCTTACACGACATCGACCACCGCTGCCTCTGCGGCTACAACCACATTAAGAACAAGAGCGGGCTGTAAGTTAGTAGAGTCCTTTACAACTTCTTCGGCTATTCGAAATCTTAAAATTGGCAAGTAAGTTTTAGGATAGTGTTTTACTCGGTTATTTCAGTTTTTCGAGTTAGTTCTTGTTTAGACATTTTTGAATGGCAGGCTGTATAAGTAGGCATAGACCCTTTTACAACTTTTTCGGTCATTTCTTGTTTTAAAAACTGTTAGTAATATAACAACTATGCCGCCCTTTTTAACAACGTTTTTACTGTTAGTATAACTATCATCGGCATAATAAATTGCCCGGCTTGTTATGGTAGTTGGGAAGGTAAAGCTAGGTACCTCGCTCCAGATGAACTCGGAGCGTGTAATACAAAAAGCCTTGCAGTACAACGAGGGCAGTGCAAGAACTAGTAATGGCGTCTGTGATCATATAAGGAGCCTACATCATGCACATAATTACAGCTATAAGCTGCGCGGTGTAATTAGAGCTGTAATTAGGGCTGTGATAGCTGCGTAGCCCCCCTAATTTGAGCTCTAATTACTACACCGCAGCAGCTTGCTGTCATCTCAGCAACGATGTCGAGCGAACATGATGGGAGTACTAAGGCTAGCGTGGCGATTGACGGTAACCTACACACTGAAGCTCGGACCGGCGCGTCATATGACTACTGGACGCAACGTTGCCCGTGGCTGCAGCTTGATCTGGGCGAAGCGAAGCAAGTTTCGCATGCCAGGTTGTATGGCCCATGGCCCAACGGGGGGAATACGCGAAGGGTCCTTTTCAACACGAGGCTGTTTACGGCTACTTCCCCTAATTTTTAATCCATCTGGTGCGGAAGCAGCATCCCGAAAGAAGAACTGTTTTAATTTTACAGAGGGGAAGGGTCTAAGGATGATCTTCAAGATGCTGGATGAGTGTGACGAGCTCTAATCCTTGGATAACTGGCGCATGGGACACCTCAAATCCGAATAAGCCAGAGGGTGGCTTATATGCCAACTCTGGTATGCGCATTTTGCTCGCCAACGAGCCGCGATCAAACGTCGAAATATGTGACAAGGACGGCCGCAACTTTTGCCTTGCGAGAGGTACATTAGACATTAAGAATAAGGGTGCTCCTGTTGTAAAATAACTTCTGGTGAGTAAGGGTATTAAATAAACAGAAAGAACATTTAGGTGTTCTTGTTTTTACCGTTCGTTTTGCCTTTCTGACTCCAGGGGGTGGAAAGCAGAGGCATAGCGAACGGGGCAAGCAAACACCATGGGCATATTTCTAAAGACAACCCGGCGAAAGGGCCAGCCTGTCCCAGTGCCGGCGGCTCTCTACAGGTTTGTGAGATTATTAAAGACAGAGACCGATATAAAAACGACCCGGAGAATACAGGTAGGTTCTTCCTCAACGTCCAGTGCCACAATAAGGTGGGGAGATATCTCGTAGTAGACTTGCCAGGAGCTTCAGCGACAGACCCCGGCAGAGTAATACATTCGCAGGAAGTACAAGTTTTTGGCACCGCAACAACGACTACGACCGTAAAAGGTGGCAGCAGCCACGACTTCGAATCGAAGTTAAGGCTTTTAGACATAGACTTCTCGCCAGCCAGGGTAGTCAGCCGTGGCTAGCATGAACATTTCGCCATCCACTCATCATCATCATCATCATCATCATCATCATTGTCGCCAACATTGTGATCATTGATATCTCTCTTTCAAGCACTATTACGCCTCCTATCTTCTCTGATCATCTCCTCTTTCTAAAAAAGCAACAGCTACCTTGGGTGGAAGACGTGGTGGTAAATGACTTTTATCCTATGTACGTTTCGCCCTATTCTTTAAGGCTTACAACCCTATTCTTTAAGGTGCATCTTCAGAGAAGTCATCCTAGAAAGGCTCTTCCAGGGGAAAAGGGGAACAGGATGCTTTTCAGGATGGCTTTTGAGGCTGAGCTCGAAACTCTGTCGGAATGCAGTACGACGCGGAACTCGGTGGAGAGTTTTTCGAAGGTTACGCCGACACCTGTCCTGACCACGGTTAGGCCAAGGGATCTTTGTCAGTTTTTAACCAAAATATGCAGATACAATCGGATTCGAATGCGTAACTAATTAACATTTCGTATGGAGGATCTCGCGATGGTGGTTAACCAAAAAGTTTCAGTTTCATTCATCTCGGCGTCTTGGAGGTGTCCTTTTGTTTTCCCTGTATTCTTTTCATGGGAAGAGAAGGGGTCGAAAGGGGGTTGCTCGCTGACAGCACCGAAGAGCAGACCCCTCGAGAGAACTACAGGGGGAAACGAAGGGAAAACGGGGAAGGTGGTGCCCATCTTTCATCTCGTCTTTCTATGCTGCTGCCCTTTTCTGTGTAGTTGTTCCACTCTTTCTCTTGGAAGTTACTTGTCGAGATCAACATAATAAAAATAATGGTTGTTCCTTTATTATTGTTGGATACATTCGAACACAGACTGTTAAGTCGCGTCTAGTTTCTCGGTGAGAAACACTTGAGAGTGATACTGTTTGCACAATTTGCACTCACAGCCTGAGACTAATGATCTCTGGCTGCTTTGATCCCTGTGGATATTCATTGGGGTTGCAAGGAGGAAGTCTCAGCTTCATCATTGGGATATCATGTAGCATGGGGAAGCTCTCATATGCTTCATACGGAAACGCTTATGCTATCATCATTGATTCATACGATCATCCTACATTGATTCCCATCATTGATCAGAACTTGACAAGACGTTATGGACCTGATTACAGCTATGAAACATTCACCATTCCTGCTATCTGAATACGTTGAAGGTCCTTTGCCTGATGATCACTGATTTTGGAACTATATGCATTTAGGTCTGTAGGTTATCTTTGAGATCATTCCGGTGCTGTTTTGTCCTTGACTGTATTGGGAGGCTTGAGCCACAAACGAGAGAGAGAGGAGAAGCCAGAGACACCCGCGCGACGGTAAACCCGTCGGGCGTTTGGATGGTGCTCCGGTAACCTTTTGCCTGGCGATCTTGGTCATTTTGCTGATCTTCATCCTTGTGATCTTTGTGACATTTCGAGGATTATGACCTTGACCAACACCCCTCCTCAATCGTTGCGTGTCGAAGTCCCTAGTCTCTGGACTACCACGGAAGTCATATCTCCTAGCTGCTCTTCTATGGCTACGGTATACTCGGCTAGAAACCAAAATAAACCGAATATACTACACTATAGTAAGCTAAATCATCCCCATTCGTTTCATCGTCTGAGGAATCACAATCATCATGCTCAACTTTAGTTATCGGGTTATCTATATGGTGAAGTAGTAGTCTACGTTGAGACGAACTACATTCTAACTTAGTTAAGCCATCAGCCTTCATTAAGTTAGTTGGACAGAAAACTATCTTACTGGCCGCATCACGCACACGCAAGTAGCGAAGTGCATAATGGCGACTCTTCGGGCGTGTGTCAGTTGCTTTGGCTGTTGTGATCGCGGATTGGTTGTCGATCCAGAGCACAGCATTGTCTAAAGAGGGAGACAAGCCGTTCTGTGTGTGTACCAACTGAGTTGGTAGAGGCCTATAGAAGTCTGTAAAGTCATGCAGTTCACTAAGCACAATAGTGTCAGAAGCTGCAATATATTCACTTTCAGCCGTAGAATAGGCACGGACAGTTTGTCGGTTACTTCTCCAAGCAATTGGAACGCCTTTGAAATACATGATCGATCCACTTGTACTTCTCATAGTCTTTACGCAGTTGGCGAAACCTGCATCACTAAAGATATTCACCTCTGGCATATCTCTGCCTTCAGGTAGTAACTTTGAATAGATTCTATTGAATTCTTCTTCTTGCTCTGGTGAGTATTCCAGTCCTTGGTCTCTCGTTGTCACCAGATACTTTAGCACTTTTCTGGCTGCTTTAACCATTCTTGTTGACGCGGGTTTGCTGACATGTCTAGCCAATGCTGCCACCGGTACAGAAATGTCCGGGCGCGCGGTTACAGCTACCCATAGCAAGGCACCAACTACCTCACGAAAGGGATACCCTTCGACTATCTTGATCCCCTCCTCAAGAAAAGCCGACTCGTCAAAATTGGGCGAGTAAACCGGTTTTCCGACATCAATTTCGAATTTCTTTGCGATTTTATCAATGTACTCCTCCATATTGAGCCGAAATGTTCGAGCTTCACGGCAGTAGTACACGATGGCACCTAAGAAGTCGAACCTGAGCCACGTTTGACCCCAAGGGGTTGGAACGGACTCCACATCAATCGCACGGCCAGGGGCACGCGAGAAGATGAGTTCTAGTTCGGTCTTGAGCTCATCAAGATCAGGACCCGTTGCAAGATTGTCATCAACATAGACTGACATCTTGAGGAACTTCCCAGGTACCTTCGCACTCGGCTTTCTCCATAAGCCTGGCGCAGAATCACACGGCTCCCAGCCAATACTGGCTAGTATGTCGTGATATTTCTTGAACCATGCTCGTGGTGCGTCCTTCAAGCCGTATAAGGCCTTCTTGAGCTTCACGATCTCGCGTCCATGCTTCTCTGCCCAGATGGGTGGGAGACGGCAGAAGACATCGCGATCGAGTTCAGCATTGAGGAACGCAGAATCTAAATCGAACGGGATCACATAGTCCTGTTCTGACGCAGCAGATGTCAGGAGCAGCCTATTAGCGGCGTGTGAAACTACGGGAGCAAAGGTGTTTAGCTCTCCTGAACGATCTAGATTACCGAGGACACAAGCGCGAGCCTTGTATCTTCCACATCTTTTAATAGTTAGAATTATGGCAATTGGTAGAGCCTGTCGCGCGGTCGCAAGCTCCTCGTCAGAAGCTTCTTTCCACGTTTCAAAGGCTAGTAGTCTCGCATGCTCTTTGTCAATAACCTCCCGCCATTTGTCGGCATCAGGAGACTTGAGTGCTTGAGCAACGGACAAAATCACATATGATTCGACGAATTCCTCATCTTCGTCTAATTCACACGTGCCACCTACTGCACTAGCGAACAGCGCCACATTCTTTCTCAGTTCTTCTAACTGTTTCTTTGTTCTTCGAACCCTGCTGCCTGCTTTGTCCTTCGCTCCTTTTGGTCGGCCACGCTTCTTGACGTGTGTACGGCGTTCGCCTGCCACAACACGTGCTGGAGAAGGCGCTTTCGACTTAGACGGACTTAGCGGAGCAGATGTCTCGCGATCCTTCGCTTCAGCATTCCCCTCCTCAAGTGAAACACCTTTTGGAGAGTCAGCTGCGTTGGATTCCTCTACTTTATCCAGTGTCTCAATAAATAATTCGTCGGAAATCGCGGTCGGTCCACCTGGAATGTGCTCCGTGCCAGAGAACCCCGATTGATGATCCAGCCTTTGCACTGACTGTCCAAGCAAGGGGGAGCCCAGCGACGACGCGCCACTCTGCAGATTTTCCAGTTCGTCATACTCAATGTAGATGCCCTTCTGATCTGGCAAAAGCCAATCGATATTTTTAATTAGATAGTCCTCTCTGAACTTTACATCTAGGGTAGAGTATTCCGCCCATCGATGTCCAAGCTTGCAACGATCGTCATGAGCGAAAGTTCCAACCAACCAACCAGACGACTTCGGACAGAGTCCAAGGAAGACGCCACGGCGGTACTTGGCCGAGAGCTTGGGTTCAGGAGTGTTGGCTTGAATTTGTTCACGAAAGTAAACTAGACAACCAAATCGGCGGAGCATGCCGATTGAACTCTTCGATGAGTTTCTACCAGTCCTTTCTTCTAAGATTTCAATTGGACTCTTTCCATCATGTTGAGGCATTTTTGCATAGTTATGCGGTAAACGATCCCAGCAGTCACCAGCGTACTCGACGCAGTAACACCAGAGGCGTTTATCAACTTTAGTCAGCATTGTGCGTACACTGCCGAACAAAGTCCGCATAAAACGTTCGCAGGTCCCATTCATCTCCGGATTATAAGGAACAGCCGGACTGTCTGAGACTCGCAGCGATTGCATAACTTTGGTCATGTCATCACTGCTCAGGACAGGTTCTCCATCCCTCCGGAGGAACCACACTACCTTGTCATCAAGTGATAAGGAGTAGTCCTGGCGAATGCCTTTGATAACTTCTTCTATTTCCTCCACACAGTCACTTTTCAGCTTAAGCGGTCGACAGAACACCTTCTTAATTACATCACAGATGATCACTAATACACATCTCTTTGACCTGACTGATACGGGTTTGATTCCAACAGCAAAGTCGATTGCTAGTAACTTCAATGGTTCAGGTTTGTAGTTCGAAGTATCTCTAGCTTTTGCATGTGGTGCGCGTTGGCCTTTATGTAGATCACACTCAGGGCAATTTACCTGGAGGCCATCTATATGAAAGTGCCCACATCTTCTATGAAGTTCGAGTCTTGTAAGGTAACAACTACTGACTCCTTCTTCTACTGTTGAACAAATATAACCACTATCAGTCTCTTCTTTAAATAAGTTGCATGCAAGTATGGGAAGCTGCAAGCGTGGATGACTTCTTATGGGTATGGCCTGGCCGGTGTCCGTATGTACGAGACAACCACCTGCGCCTTTGAAGTTGAATTCCCATCCTAATTGCGAGCAGTTCCCTTCACCTAACCAAGGTATAATACGATCTAAGTCCTTTGGTAGTGAATCATAATAAACACCATACTGGAGCCCTAAGATGTTTGACTTTAGTTTTCCTACTCTTCCGTCTTTACTTCCAGCGCTACCAGTAATCCTACAAGTTCTCATAGTTATTTCACTAAAATCGTCTTTGTGTCTTGAAAGATATTTGTTTGCACAACTATCGACTAGACTAACTTCTTCTCTTGTAGTAATGGAACTAGTTGAAAGACTATGTCCCACAAGTTTTACCTCCCCTGTATTATTTACGTTTATTTCTTCACCCTCATCTTCATCCAAGTTCAGCGAGCAAAATCCGCTTTCCACCGGTTCCGCAACTCAGCTCTGCTTTCCGCCGTTGAGAGCTTGCCACAGCTCCGCAACTTGGGACATGTGAACCATGCCATTACCCTTTCCACCTTTACCCATAGCACTACTAGATTGGGAATTGGTGTTCCAGTTCCAGTTTGCCTGGTTCTGTGGATTCTTCCAACAAGACGCGGATTTGTGACCCGGTTTGTTGCAGATCCAACAGACTGGACGGGTGTCTTGTTTTCCAGAACCTTTATTATTTTTGTTCTGCGGCTTTCCTTTGCCGTTCGAATTGGAGGCATAGACCTCGGCGGCGATCTTCTTCTTTGTGTTTGCCTTGAAGCGCTTGAGAGCACTTTTAGACAGAAAGATCTTACCACCTTCATTGGCCTTTTCCTCGTCATCCTCCTCTTCACGAGAACGTTTATTCGAGGTCTCCTGAACATTGACCGGGAACGCCTTCCCGAAGGAATCGTTCTCAACTTTGTAGGTTCCCTCCTCGATCAACGTCGCAAGACGCTTTTCAAGTCGGTCACCAATCTGGTCAAATGTCAGACCATCTTCTTCCTGCATGCGTTCGATCGTTGCCTTGAAGTTCTTGCAGAACAGCTCGGGCAACTTCTGTAGCAGTGCACCATTTTGTTGGTCACTTTCTGGCACTCCTGCTTCCGGCGGGTACACGGTGGGCGACTGGTTCATGATGTCTCGGACTTTCGACAAGAATCCTGTGACATCTGCAGGTTGATCCGCGTTGTGGAACTTCAACACGCCATCCGTAAGCGGTTTTACTTTCATCCGTTGTTCCTGACGGTTGTTTTGATCGAAGTGTCCTACATCACGAAGGAGCACAACAACCTCACCTGCATCCATCGCATCCACCTGCCCATTATCGTTCT